TGTTGCTTTGCTCTTGATTGAAATGTAGGATAGTTTTTCTTTGTATAAACTATGTATTTTTCCAGTCTGTTAAGAAATATGTTTGTCTTGTCCTTAGAACTGTAGGATTTTCTTACTATCATGATCTGTTTCTCTGTGATCTTCATTATAGAGTCCTTTTTGTAACTGGCATAGTTCAAATTTTGTTGCTTCTTAAAAGTAATCTATTAGCTTTAGTCTGTTGTTGTTTTTTTTTTTTTGTATACTTAATATTTAAAAATTTCAAATAATTTAAATGTTGCAAGTGATTTTTGTCTTAGGCATTCTCCAGAGAAGGAGGTCACTAGCAATTTAACTCATCCTTTTTGACTGACAAAGCTCCCAGACCTATAAATGTAGCACTTCGGTTTTAGACACAATCTCTTTGAAGACAAGTCTATAGTTTGTGTCAGAGTTATTGGAAATTTTTTTAGTATAATCTCTTCTTACCTTTTCACTTTCTTTTCTTTCATGTTTCCCGTCCCATCCCCTCCCCCGGCAATATTCCTTGACTTCCCTATAATATGACAGTTGAGTTTTATGGGTGTCCTTTCAACCAGTATTTATTGCTCACTTGTGATGTGACAGGCTCTGTGTACCCAAGATCGTCTCTGATCTGTTTGTAAACCTGAAAAGTTTATAATCAGGACTGTCATAATAGTAATTTAAATACCTATGTGCACTAAATATTATATAAATGCTTTACTGGATTATCTTTTTTAATCCTCACAACAGCCTTGCGAGATAGGAATAATTATTATCATCATCCCCACTTTTCAGATCAGTAAACTGGGGGCACATACAAATCATCTAAAATCACTTGGATATGGGGTTGTCCATATGAAATACAGAATGCCTAATTAAACTTGAATTTCAGATAGACTACTACTATTTTTTAGTTTAAATATATATCAAATATTGCACAATCTGATGACCCCACTTGGAAAATGAATGACAGAGGTGGGATATTAAACCATGTAATATGGTTATAGGGCCCATGGTCTTAACTGTTGCACTCTAATGAATAGAGAGAATAGGAATCACATCCACCTGAACATTCAGTATTTAGATGGCAGCTACTACCTATGTATAATTAATATTTTTACTCAAGTTATTTTTCCCCCAACTGATCACATTTACTTCATTGTAGACATATGTGTATTCTTTCTGATTTCAAATGTACTGTTCAAGTTCAGGTAAATTTACCTGTGCTTTTTATGTCTTTTTAAGTCAGTACTAATTATATATTATAACATAAAATGGTACTTTTTCTGAACCTGGTTACTTTAGCCATTCTCATCCATGTAAGATAATTGACTTTTTACCTTCTTTTCTGCAAATATAGGAAGATTTCACTGCATGTATGTGCCAAAAAGACACTCTCTTTTGATAAGGTTAGGAAATCATATTTGAATAAGGTATTTAACAGTTCTTTGAAACATGTCCCATGTGTTCTCAAAAAATCAAGAAGTTATAAAATACAGATGTGGAATTGAAAGATGCTTTTACTAAGAATTGCCAGGGAAGCCATCTGGGTCTGCTAAGTAATCATACAGCGAAGTAAGGAGTCATTTTTCCTGGTGAATTACCACGGTTCGGGATCAGGCTTTCAGTTCTGCATATCTAGAAATTTACTTATAAAAGCTATAGACCTGAGAGAGCTTGTGAATGACACACGTGTTAAATGTGATACTTTTGATTTCCAGTTCTGGCAAAATTGCGGAGCACGTACCTTAAAAAGAAGACATTCTTAAAATTCATGAGTCAAGTGTTTAACTCAAGACATAGAGTCAAGGTGTATAGAAATTGAAGAAAAGTATATTTCTTAGTGAAATCTGCTTATCTTTAAGGGATACTTACGGGAAATGTTTTTCTCTCTCTAGGAGGAATTGGATGATATCTAGGTAACAAGTCAGATTTTTGGAGAAAGTTCAGAAAGGAAAGTGAGCAAGAGGCCGGGCACGGTGGCTCACACCTGTAATCCCAGCACTTTGGGAAGCCGAGGAGGGCAGATCACAGGGTCAGGAGATCGAGACCAGCCTGGCCAACATAGTGAAACCCCGTCTCTACTAAAAATACAAAAAAATTAGCCAGGCATGGTGGCGGGCACGTGTAATCCTAGCTACTCGGGAGACTGAGGCAGGAGAATCGCTTGAACCTGGGAGGCAGAGGTTACAGTGAGCCGAGATCATGCCACCGCACTCCAGCCTGGGCAACAGTGTGAGACTCTGTCTCAAAAACAAAAAAAAGTGAGCAAGAATTAAAAGTGCAACTCTCAGCAGATGTAACAGTGCTTGCTATAGGATTGGACTCTATTTTAATCTGTTCCATCTTCATATGTTTTCAGGCATAGTGTATTGAAAGATTTGTCAGTGACAAAGTGTGTCTGACTTTACAATGGCAGTTATTTCAAAATTAGTATTTCTTTTATAGAATTAACACCACATTATTTTGGAACACCTCTATTCTGTGTAAGTGAAATTTTCTATCAGAATTTTCTGAAGTCACCGCATTGCTACCCAACCAACTTTTTATTATTTTGTAGAATTCATTAATGGTCATTTATATTTTGTATTTTTAAGTATGATATAATCACCTTTGAGACACAGTGGACTAGAAGACGTTAATAGGAAAAATGTCTCTTCTCTTTTATTATATAAATCTTTCCATGAAAGCAGTGACTTGATGCAACAAAACTTACTAAGCCTTTAGATCTCTAGCCAAGAATATAGATGTTTTTTCTTTAATGCCAACTATTGTAAATTTTAGATTGACCACAGAGTGACCTAACCCGATCACCAACTTGATCGGAATTCAGCGTTTGCATTTTAAGTGACTTGAATTGATAAGAAAGTATTTTTTTCCTTTTAAATTAATTGCAGATGGACTGTCTACTTGAATACAGTAGAGCTTGAGAAATGAATCACTTTCAGTTACTTTTGAGGCAGCATGGAATTGCCACACTTGAATTCAGACCTGGGTTCAAATCCCTATGCTGCCTCTTAGCAACTTACTGAGTCTCTTTTTCCTCTTCACTCAAATGGCAATTTTAGGATCATAATGCCCATCTTGAGGGCTTGTGTGAATTTAAAATAATTAATAAATGTATTAATTCGTTGAATAATTATTTATTGAATGCCTGCTCTGTGCTATGGATATTAGTGAGCATTGCAAAAATTCCTGCTCTTTATGTTAGAGAGATATACAACAAACATGTAAGCAAATAAAAATGTAATTTTAGGTAGTGAGTTGTAAGTTTTATGAAGAAGAAGTGCAGCACACACACAAAATTTCAAGTGGCAAAGGAAGGGATTTGGACTGATGTCTGCTGGCTTCTAAAACAAGCAATTTCTGCTATGCCCCATTGCCTTTGAAATCTCGCCATTCATTGCTTTAGAGGGCATCTTTCAGAATAAAGGGCTAAGTATTTAAGGGGAGCTAGTGATAGATATTCCTTTATTAAGTAACTTCTTTTGAGCCATCTTGGTGCATACACTATGGTAACAATTCAGTTTTATATGGCAATAATTATGAACTCTTTATATTTGACACTCAATCATTTTTTGCTCAGTATTGCTGTTTAACAGGTAGTATGTTACTCAACACATGTATATGCCTTATTTTCTCTATTACATTCTTCTTTAAGGGTCAGGACTGTGTCTTCTACTTCAGTGATTCTCAAACTTAAGTGTGCATTGCAATCACCTCAGAGTTTCTGATTCAGGAGATCTAGGGCGGGGTCCACAAATTTGCGTTTCTAACATATTCCCAGGTGATACTGATGCTGCTGGTCCTGGGACCACACTTTGAGAACTACCGTGTACCTCCTTCTTCCCCCACAATACTTATGCTATTTATCACTTAGCTTAAATGTCCTCTCATCTGCGAATTTGTCATTGACTTCTATTTCACTGAAACAACTAGTTGTTCTCAAAATTTGGGAAACTTGTTGACAAAGCAGATTTCTGGTCAGACTCCAAAACATCCATTTTTAGCAAGCACCTTAGATGTTAATGCCAATGATCCATGGAAAACAGCTTGTGAAATTCCAACTTACGGGGTTGATCATGCTCTCTTCATTGCCATGACTGTATTTTGTATTTGTCTCTGATTGTTTTTTGTATTACACTTATTTGTTTGTATGTCTTTCTCCTCCTACCAGACTCCCTGAAGGGAAAGGAATATATCTTATTCATTGTTGCATTTTAAAGCTTATTAGCACAATGCAGTATTACAAAGCAGTAGAGGCCAGGCGCAGTGGCTCAGGCCTGTAATCCCAGCACTTTGGGAGGCCGAGGCAGGCGAATCACAGGGTCAGGAGTTTGAGACCAGCCTGGCCAATATGGTGAAACCCCATCTCTACTAAAACATACAAAAATTAGCCGGGCATGGTGGCATGCACCTGTAGTCCCAGCTACTCAGGAGGCTGAGGCAGGAGAATCACTTGAACCCGGGATGTGGAGGTTGCAATGAGCCAAGATTGCGCCACTGCACTCCAGCCTGGGCAACAGAGTGAGACTCCATCTCAAAAAAAACCAAACAAAACAAAAAACAAAAGCAGTAGAGTGAGTACTGCCTGTGTAATCAGCTTTGGCACTTGTTAGCTATGTGACCTTGGAGACTTTATTTAATCCCTCTAAGCTTCAGTTTCCTCTTTTATGAATGGTAGTAGTAGCACTTACTTGCTATGGAAATTAGCTCTGAGGTATGTACAGTATTTAGTGTGGCAACTGACATACGGAATGTAGCAAGTAAATGGAAAGCATTACAGTGTTGTGGTTGTCATTATGTTATGGAAGAAGCAAAATAAATGTTTGAATTAATGAAAACTCTTGCATTATAATTTTAGCATCCAAATTCAGGATATGTATTTAATACTTCATTAAAAATATTTGCTTAATTGTCTCAAATACTATTTTATATTTTGATATTTTAGTAAGGTATTGTGAAGTAAAATCATGCTTTGGGCTTCTCTGCAACAGGAAAACAAAGAAACCGCTTGGAACCAATGGATACCATATTTGTTAAACAAGTTAAACAAGGAGGACCTGCTTTTGAAGCTGGATTATGTACAGGTGCTGATACTCTTCTTTAAACAATACCTTTTAATTTCTTTTTCACTTTATGTCTTCCATATTTCAGGTTCGATATTTTTTCCTTTTGCATCTTTCTGTATGCTTTTTCCTTTTCCTTCACATCTGTTGTTACTAATTTTGAGAACTAATTATGTTTCTTGATGCCCATATGGATGGGTTTGAACAGAAATAACAATATAAATTGATACACTGTGAGCACTTTTAATTACCACACAGATAATAGACTCTTAGAGGCTCTTTTAAGGAACATATTTTTCATGCATTGAATTTTGACAAAGGATTACAAAGTAGCAAAATGATGAAGGTATTTATATGATATATGTGAAATGATCTTGGATTTTTAAGTTCTGGAAGTGCCTGATCTGCCAGAGTTGAGTTAATTAATTTGCAGCACAAAGAGTGGCTTAAGTCTCCAATGCAATGTAAGCCTGGCTTCATCTGAAGGTGTCAGTATATGTGGCCTAATTGGCTGGATGTAGTAGCTGTTTGTTCTAAAATGTTTTGTGATTTGTGATTTTAATAAAACCTAAGTAGAGATTTCATTTATGTTAGTGCACACTCTAAAATAGTTACTTTCTTTCGTTTTTTAAACATCAAACAATTTAAAATGGGAATTATTGAAAAACTATATTTCACTGCCTTTTAAATAAAATGCTATATTTTCACCTACAAATATTAGAAAGTAGTGGACATCATTGCTAAGATTTGTAAGGATGTACTGTTAGTGTATTACTCACCTGAGTTATTTTTTTTATTACACTTAAAGTAAGCCTGATTTAAATATCATTAATATGTATAATATGAATATTAGTGTGCATATGGGATTTCTTTAGAATGTATTATCTGTTATATTTTAAGCCCCACATGATTGGGAAGATGAAGTGGAGATATGCTGTGATAAGCACACAGAAAGTGCATTTTTGTCTATTTGCTTCTTTCCTCTGTTCTTTCTGTCCTCTGTTCTTTGTTTCTGTCTTTTCTTTTCTACTCTACTCAGAGTAGAAAGAACCCGGGAGGCAGAGGTTGCACCACTGCACTCCAGCCTGGGCGACAAGAGTGAGACTCTGTCTCAAAAAAAAAAAAAAAAAAAGACAGGGTAAGTGGAGAGATAATTAGTTCTGCAACTCAGGAAATAACTGATAGGAGCATAAGTAGTATAGCACTGGTCCCCTGGTGACTAGACCTTTCGAAATTTCTCAATTCAGTAATGACTGGAACTCTTACTTAGAACATGGCTAGTTGCACAAAAAGCTGGATATATTAAATGTATTTAAAAGATACTTTAAAAGTAATAAGATACTTTAAAAGTAATCAGCTAGGATATTCATATAATTATTTTGTAATATAATTATACTAATAATTTTCTCACAATTCTGTATTTTTTTATTTTAATATATACCACATTAAAAATAAGGACATTATTCAAGAAATATTTCAAAAGTGTTCAAAAGTGACTTTCTGCAGGATTTCTCATGTGTTTTTTAACTTCTCTTTGAAGGTGACCGAATCATAAAAGTCAATGGAGAAAGTGTTATTGGCAAAACCTATTCCCAAGTAATTGCTTTAATTCAAAACAGGTAAGACTCTTAAAACATTAATTTTGGCCAAAGATGGGTTTTACAAATCAATAGAGCACATAGATTTACTACAATCTTCTATTCTTATAAGGAACTGTGGTAACAAGGAGATGTGGAACTTTCCCTCAGATATAATGCATTTGAGAGTTGCCAAGGACCAGCTATCTGAGGATAGCTTAGTTGGTGGCTTTGGCTTGACAGATGTATCAGATCTATGATTAAAATCCCATAGAGGCTGAGAGGCACACATTTTAGATTTACTGTGTTTACCCCTTTTATTTGAAGTGACAAATGTATAATTTGTTTATAATATATAAATAAATGCATACATAATTTATTTTAAAACCTCTTACTGGGGTATGTTACTTTTAAGTATCCTTTTGAATAATCTTCCTAAATTAATTCATTTGTTGTAACCAAGACAATAAGACATTCCCTTTTAATCCATTTGTCTGCCTGCATTTTACAGAATAATAGGATTTTGAGCTCTGAAGTTAGATACGTATTTATAGAGTGACTGTCTATGAGACCTTGGAGATCATTTAGTCCTACTGTCTTTCACCCACACAACCAGAAAATTTTTCCAAATTACAAATAACCATTTATTACCATATTGAATTTCTGTCAAGGTTAGGCCATGGATCTGAGCCCAGTCAGATCGTCACTCTGTTGTAAGAGGTTCTTCTCAGATTCAAATGTAGGAACTTTTGGATTATCTAATGCTTTCTGTTGGCCAAACTCACCTGTCTGTAATTGAAGTGCAATTCTTCATTTTCTGAAGATTTTTATCAAGCTCTCCTAACCATATCTAGAGTGGCTCATGCTGCAATCTAAATTATTTACACCAATGCCCTAATACATTGCCATTTCTCACAATTAAATGACATGGTCATGATTAATTGATCTCAGAGTATTTTCTTTAATGTTTTAATATTTAATGGGATTTTAACAGAAAACAACTCGAATATTGCCTCTAATGTTGATAATGAATTTAAAGCCTCTCCAAGGGATAACAGATTTTGTCCAAATTTTTTTCCTCAAAATAATTTAGATCATCACAAGTACAATGATATGTTTTGTCAGCCCATAACTTAAAAGATTTTTAGTGTATTTGTTAATATCTCTTCTTTAAAAACCAACTTAATCATTGTTTTCTTCAAAATCTACTTTAATTCTTCTGTTCCTGGTGCAGTTCATCTTTCAGAGTAATAACACTTCAACCACTAAAATCAATTTGAATATTACAGAAATATTTTTTCATAATTTTATTTCCATTTAAAAAGTTGTGTTTCTTCTCTCTGCAGTTGGTAGCAAATGGGTAATGCAGCACAAAGCCCTAGAGATTCTGCAGTGTATTAATGTAACATGTGTCCCTGCAGGCTAGGTGCAGTGGCTTATGCCTGTAATCCCAGAACTTTGGGAATCTGAGGTGGGCAGATCACTGGAGCCCAGGAATTTGATACCAGCCTGGGCAACATGGTGAAACGCTGTCTCTATAAAAAATACAAAAAATTAGCTGGGCGTGGTGGTGTGTGTCTGTTGTCCCAGCTACTTGGGAGGCTGAGGTGGGAGGATCACCTGAGTCCAGGAGGTCAATCAAGTGAGCCTTGATAGAGCCACTGCATTCTAGCCTGGGTGACAGAGTGAGACCCTGTCTCAGAACAAAAACAAACAGATGTGTCCTTGTGCGGGAGTTTATCGAAACATCAGTTTCTACCAATGCTAAATATTGAAATAAAAGTACCTACATATTTTACTAGTTAAATTTATTTGAACCTGTGGTTCTCATGGGTTTAGCATAATCTGAGCATTTATGAAACGAAACATAATGATTCAAATCTGTTAAGAAGAGACACCAGTAGGTTATTTTGTTTTTTTTGTTGTTATTTGATTGTTTCTTAATCTCTTGACTGTATTGGGGGAAAATCTATCTGATACTGTTAGCATTTGGTGGAGATAGTAGCACTGCCTTTGCCATAACTTTTTACTTTATTTTATTTTTTTATTTTTTTGAGAGGGAATTTCATTCTTGTTGCCCAGGCTGGAATGCAATGGCGCGATCTCAGCTCACTGCAGTGTCCGCCTCCCAGGTTCAAGCAGTTCTCCTGCCTCAGCCTCCTGAGTAGCAGGGATTACAGGCACCTGCCACCATGCCCAGCTAATTTTTGTAGTTTTAGTAGAGACCAGGTTTCACCATGTTGGCCAGGCTGGTCTTGAACTCCTGACCTCAAGTGATCTGCCTACCTCAGCCTGGGATTACAGGTGTGAGCCACTTCGCCCGGTGCCTTTGCCATATCTGTACGTAACTCCAGATCACAGGATTCAGTTGTGTTTACCCCTTTGAACTTTCAAAACCTAAGGAAATTTCTCTATCATTTTCAACAGGAAATTTACAGAACCAAAATAAAATTAGACTTTGAGCTATCCCTGCAAAGGCACTAAAAGTAAATCATAGGCAAGAAAGCAAATAGTTGAAATGTTATATAGTTATTAAAAATGAGTCATCTCAGTCGTTGTGATGGTAAAGCGATTTCCTTCACTTCCGAGGCCAGGAGGGAATATTGCACAATTAAGATGTTTAATATTAGTTGGCTGGGCGCAGTGGCTCACGCCTGTAATGCCAGCACTTTGGGAGGCCAGAGTGGGCAGGTCCCTTGAGGTCAGGAATTCGAGACCAGCCTGGCCAACGTTGTGAGCCCTTCTCTCTACTAAAAAATAGAAAAATTAGCTGGGTGTGGTGGCGCGTGCCTGTAGTCCCAGCTACTCGGGAAGCTGAGGCATGAGAATTGCTTGAACCCAGGAGGCAGAGGTTGCAGTGAGCCAAGATTGCACCACTGCACTCCTGCCTGGGTGACAGAGTGAGACTCAGTCTCAAAAAAAAAAAAAAAAAAAAAATTATTTAAAATATTAAATTTGAGGGTTCTTTGATGTTAATGAATTTTAACTTGATGAACAGAATATATGACAATCTATAATTTGTTTTGTGACTTGAGTAAAACAAATAATTGTATACTGATATTGTTAGGAGTTTTCTCTTGGGACTATTTAATATAAGCAACATACTTTATATTTCTAAATTAGAAACATGTTATGAAGAAGACTTTACTGATAATGAATAGCACAAACATGCCAGGGGTCCGTCCCTCTTTTGTGTGTAGTTAACTTATGTATACAAAGGTGACTTCTTCTCATTCTAATGATTTGATTTTAAAAATAAAGATGTAAGAATACCAAAAATAGGCCGGGCGCGGTGGCTCAGGCCTGTAATCCCAGCACTTTGGGAGGCCGAGGCAGGCGAATCACAGGGTCAGGAGTTTGAGACCAGCCTGGCCAATATGGTGAAACCCCGTCTCTACTAAAAATACAAAAAACAGCCGGGCGTGGTGGCGGGCGCCTGTAGTCCCAGCTACTCGGAGGCTGAGGCGGGAGAATGGCGTGAACCCGGGAGGCGGAGTTTGCAGTGAGCCGAGATCGTGCCACTGCACTCCAGCCTGGGCAACACAGCGAGACTCCGTCTCAAAAAAAAAAAAAAAAAAAAGAATACCAAAATCTTAAACAATTTAAAAAATACTTCTGAGTTAACTGTTTTTCCATTAAGTCTTTTGATACACTTCTACCTCTCCTAAAATAGTATATATATTCAATTTCAGTGATACAACATTGGAACTTAGTGTTATGCCAAAAGATGAAGACATTCTCCAAGTGGTAAGTTTTATTTATTCATATATGAGTTGTTTTACAGTCATGAATGTTAGGAAAATATTTTTGGGATGGAAGTATTAAAGATTGAATTAAAAAAATTCTGGAATTTAAAAACCCTCTAGTTCCTTTTACAGAATCTGGAATTCTCTACATTTTACAAAAATCAGACCAAAAATACCATTGTCAAGTTTTTGCAATTAAGTGACATGGAAATGTTATGTTGATTCTACAGTGAACTCTTACTGCTGTCATTTAGAATGAGACTCCTAAAGCGTTTGTCCTAGTGTTGCCTTCTAGTTCATCCTTGGACCAAAGGTAGAGTTCAGAGTGCAAGTGCATATCCCCAGGAATTAGAATCTTTTTTTTTTTTCCCCTTCTCACTATGTACAGAGAAAAAAAAAAAAAAAATAGAATCTTCTTTTTTTATATGAGGACAAATTTTATGATTGCCATTTCCTAATTTTCCAATAGATATTACTGTTTGTAAATTCACCAAGCAGTATTGTAAGTAGTATCAATTCATTCCTAAAATGTTCACAATGAACAGAGTCTGTACCTTAAGGGGAAAATATGTTACAGTCTTGAAATGAAAGTTGAAAACTTTAGTATTTAGTCTAAAATTGTTTTCTGATGTTTATAAAGAAATAAATGGAATACTTATTTATTAAGCTTAAATATTGCTGAAAGAAGATGATAAAAATATAAATTTCGGCTGGGCGCGGTGGCTCACGCCTGTAATCCCAGCACTTTGGGAGGCCGAGGCGGGTGGATCATGAGGTCAGGAGTTCAAGGTTAGCCTGGCCAACATGGTGCAACCCCATCTCTACTAAAAATACAAAAATTAGCTGGGCTTTGTGGTGGGCACCTGTAATCCCAGCTACTTGGGAGGCTGAGGCAGGAGAATTGCTTGAAACCGGAAGGCAGAGGTTGCAGTGAGCCGAAATCGTGCCACTGCACTCCAGCATGGACTAAAGAGTGAAACTTCATCTCAAAAAAAAAAAAAATCTATCTATCTATATATATGTATATATATGTGTGTATACACACATATATACACATACATATATAAATATATACACATATATTTCATTCAATAAAATACTTTATATATTTTACTTTATATATGTATATATGTGTATATATACACATATATATACACACATACATATATAAATATATGCACATATATATTCAATAAAATAATACTTTCCTTCCATTGATTTTGCAGTTCAGTAGAATAAAATAGAAAAACTCTTTAAGTAACATACTGACAACTAACAGATCTAAGAAATGGCAGTGGCCACTGAAGTATTTATTTTTAATTCTTTTTGGTGAATAATTGGATTTTTTTCTTATTATCTATAGCTAAATTCAAGAAAAGCAGGGAGATTTATCCACTCTTTGTCATGGTAATAGAAATGGTATAGTAATGTTCTTCATTTGTAAGGCAGTAGTTTGAACTTAGCTCCTCAAAGGCCTAAATAATCTGTAAACATGTTTTACAAAAAAAATCACTAAAGCTGATCCTAAAGAGTCATTCACTGACATGTAAACTATAATGAAGTGAAACTCATGGGGATTAACCCCATGTTTTCAAGGCATGTAGATTTTATGTAGGAATGGCTTAGTACTGAAAACAATTACTCTTCTGAAGTACACAGTTCAGTTGGAGTTGGGAGGCTCAGGAAGGCAGGTACAGTTAGCTGCAGTAATTTTCCTGGGCATGCAAAAGTGGTTGTAGAGTTCCTACCCTGACAATTCAGCATAGTGATCATGTAGCAGACATAACCACAGACACGAATGGCTGTGAAAATCACTAGACTAGAAATAAATAGGGAATTCTTCTCTAGTGCTCTTCTTATAAAGAAGATGATGTATAATGGTAGCGAAGGATTTACCTGGCTTCCTCCTTGCAATCTGAAGGCTTGAAGACAGGATCAGCTTCCGAAACTGAACTGTTCTCTGATCTTCAGTAGACCCTTTCCTTGCCAAGGTGAAGGCACTGGTTGGATGGCTCTTGGAACAGTGCTCATTTCACAGAATGGCTGGCAAGGAAGCAATTAAATGCAGAATCGCCATGATATCCTGCAGTGTGATTGATGAAGAGCAGCAAACCACTTCATGCAATGGAAGGAATAATTTTGTAATGATATGATTAATCGAAAAATAGGTTACTTAAAGAAAAATTCGTTTTTTTCTGTTACTCATTCATGTTCTAGAATAGTCTGTCTTGTTATATTTTATTTAAGTAAATCTAAAGTAAAAGTAAAATATAAAGTATCCCAGAAACAGAGAAAAACCAGTTTAGTAAATAACATGAGCATACAGATCTTCAAGGCTCAGCAGTAAAGAGTTCTGGTATACTGTAACATAAAATGTATTTTTAAAACATGGTATTTGAATTACCGTAATCATTAAGAAATAAAAGCACATGCCTTTAATCATAAAAGAAAACCCTACTTTTAAACCTATCCTTAATTCACATTTGAATGTAGTGTAATTCATTAAGAAATCAAAGGAGTATATAATTCTCTGTCTCTGACATATATTCCAGAGTTAAAATGTTCTTTAAGCGGTCTTCAGAAGTACTTATGCAGACCTTAAATTTGTTATTCAAACTATGTGCTTTTAAAGATGTATTTGTTCCCATGAGGTTGAAAATTTATCGTAAAGAAAAGCAATGGGTAATGTGAACATTTTTACAGCCACCGTAAAAATCATTTGCCCATGGAAACACTTGTAGGTTGTATATGTTTGCCTGGGCCACAGGATTGGGTAGTGCATGGAGGTTTTTTCTCTTTTCCTGAAGTGATATACAGACCAAATTATTTTAGAAGCATTCTGCTTGCCTTTGAGAGGTGGCCTAGAAAATTTAATTTGGCTTAAAACTTGACTCATGTAAGGACAGGTATATGATTATAGGTTTCATAATTCGTGGATGACAATGACAGAATGTTGAAAACCATGAAGTAAAATTAAGAATAATTCATTTCTGTTTTTAAACTACTGCTAGTAATAGTCATCCTGTGCTTGGCAGCCTCATTTTCTAAACCAGCATATATTTTCTAGCTTAACAATATGAATAGTATTACATTCATTTTAATCATTTTGACAGTATTTTGTTGTAATATTTTAGACTCCAGTATCTTAGGCAGGTTCGTATTTATTGCAAAATAAAAAAGTTTTTTATTTTATTTTCAAAAACCAAAATGGTTTTGTTTCCCCATTAAATGTTACCTATGCATGAATGAAATAGCCACACCAATCCAGTCACCTAAACAGTGATCGTGACTCTCAGTCTATTTGGGCTGCTGCTGTAACAAAATACTTTAGACTGGATGGACTATAAACAAATTTATTTCTCACATTCTGAAGGCTCGGAAGCCCAAGGTCAAGGCTCAGGTAGCCTTGGTGTCTGATGAGGGCCCATTTTCTCACAGATAGTACCTTTTCACTGTGTCTTCACTTGGTGGAAGGGCTGACACAGCTCTCTATGGTCTCTTTTATAAGGTGACTAATTTCATACATGAGGTCTACCCGCATGACCCAATCATCTCCCAGAGGCCGCATCTCCTAACTCATTCACATTGGTGATTAGGTGTCAACGTACAAATTGCGGGAGGGGAACACACAAACATTCAGACCACAGCACTGACCAAAGAGAATACTTCCCTGAGTGAAATAGTGGTAGGAGAACTAGATCGGGGCATTCCTCTTGGTTCATCACCCAAGATATTTTGTTAAGCATTTGACTCCATTGACTCAAAAATTAAATTTTAAGTTAATCGGTTTTTGTAACTCTGGAGATTCTTGGGTATGTCTAATATTTGGCCATGACATTTTAAACCTACTTTACGCTGTTCTGTGTTAAACACAGCAAAGTTAAACAGCGTGTCTGGTATAATAAGGAAGAAAGCAAATGGTATAAGGATTTGAACTCGGGCAGGTCTGAGATGAAAGCCTGTACTCTAAATCACAGTCCTATACTGCTGTTGAGTGGAGATGAATTGTTTAGGTGGCTTTACCATAAGTCACCCTGCCAGTTGGTATCGGAACTGTTATTCTAACGTGAACCTTGGGGTTCTGAGTCCAGTTTTCTTTTTTGCTGCTCTATGGATATGTGACATAAGTTGAAAAATGTAATTTAAACTAAGTATTTCTTGAGGTTTATTAGAATTACTTTTAAAATAAGCATTTCATGTGTTTTATAATCAGTATAATATCCTATTTAAGATTAGCCATTTGTCAAGTGTATATCTAGGTGGTCCGGCGTAGAGTAAGGGAAGCAAGAGTATGATTCTGGAGGGTTCTTTCATATTTTGCAAGTTAGCAGCAGTTTACTTTGTAATTTTTTTTAAATCTGTTTTTAAATAATTACAAGAATAGCATGTGCTGGTTGAAGATATTTGAAATAACGCAGAAAGGTATAATAAAAAGAAAGTCCTTCTTCATCTATACCATCCCTTTCTCCCATTCCCTACGCTGGCATGGTTGGCATCTACCAACAAACATGAAGTTATTCTTGCTTTTATCATAGGTAATGGCATTAAATTAATGACCTGTTAAAGATGAATTGAAAGGCAGGAATTTTAATCTTACCACCTTTTTTATTCTTCAGGGTTTTTTTTTTTTTTTTTTTTTTTGTTTCCTCTGTTTTGTTTACCATTTAATACACAGTATCATAGGTATGGTCATGGTGATTTTGATGTGACTGTAAAAAATGAACTAGAAGATTATTTTAGGATTATTTAGTTACTATTAGGCACTGTACATATAATCAAGATCCAGGCTGTTAGTATTAAGTTGTATTTAACATACCCTTTAGAGTTCTAATTCCAAAGAAAGAATTCTTTGGGTCATCTGTCTTATTTCCTTCCTCTTCCTCTTCCCCCGCTTTTTTAGAGCTTTTTGTATCTAGTAGGCAAAACAGGGCTGCCACTATTCTGTTTTCATTAGAGAAGGCTTCAGTTTTAAAATACAAGCTATTTAAACTCCTATAAGGCGTAATACTTAAGTACAAGGGTAAAGAAAGCTCAAGAAGGAATGTGAAGTGATATACAAAAAAGCTGAATGGAAAAAATGGCTAAAAATGTTTTGTCATATTCTGTTGAATTCACAAGAGCTAGTCAATTGGGAAAAAATTAAATGTCTATTTCTATCAAAACACCTACATATATTGTAAAGTATCCATTTGGGCTTAAAACCTAACTAAAACTCAGAATTGTTAATACTGAATATGTAATTCTTATGACATTGGTTTCAAAAATAATATTCCTCCTCAAATTTGAATAAAGGACATATCTTTAAAACGTTAGTTCTACCCGGGCATGGTGGCTCACACCTGTAATCCTGGCACTTTGGGAGTCCGAGGCAGGTGGATCACTTGAGGTCAGGAGTTCGAGACCAACCTGGCCAACATGGTGAAACCCCACCTCCACTAAAAATACAAAAATTAGCTGGGCTTGGTGGCTCATGCCTGTAATCCCAGCTACTTGGGAGGCTGAGGCAGGAGAATCGCTTGAACCCGGGAGGCACAGGTTGCAGTGAGCCAAGATTGCACCACTGCACTCCAGCCTGGACAACAGAGTGAGACTCAGTCTCAAAAAAAAAAAAGTTTTAGAACAGCATTTCTCAAGCAGATATTCTAATTATTTTTCCTCTGCGGAAAAAAATAGGTTCCCTAGTGAATAAGTTTGTACTTTGAAGTTTCACAATGTACATTTTGTGAAAAATGTTCTTGAATGAATCCATATTTTATTATCTCAACCATATTGCTTACATTAGATAATAGTACTGCATGTGTGAGATGTTCACTGTTCATGCATGCGTGTGTATGGATTTCAGGACCCCTTGTGATAACTCAGAAGTGGGGACCTGTGACTGTATTGCACGCTATTTAGCATTTAGAATTGCCATACAGAAATAGTAGAGATGTCTGAAGTATGTAAAATATTCCCAAGTTTTAATAGTTCCAGCCATATACTTCTATTACTAAACAATATTTCTTCCCAAATTTGATTAAAGGAGTTATTTTTAAAATACTAGTTCTAGAATAGCATTACACAAGTAGATATTCTAGTTTTGTTAAAACCTCTGGGAAAAAATGGCCTCCATAGTGAATAAGTTTATATTTTCCCTTCGATTTTCACAATGTACGTTAATGTCATAGTGGTTTTGAGAAATCAAAAGCTTGCCAAGTGACTCTACATCATTGACCGTGGGGACCTCCTCTCCCCCATCCTCCTTTTCAGGTGGTATATAATAAAATTACACAAGGACACTGTGGGAAATGCTGTTACCAGATAGCACAGTATTTTCTCATCCAGACACAATTTTCCTATTGCAGAAAAGTATTGGTATGGATTCTAATCAGCATGGAAAAGATAGACTTGGTGTGTCAATGCACATACCCAAACTGCATGTTTGGATTAACAGTATTCATGCCATAAAAATATTATGTAGACATGTTTTCTTTTATATGCCTAGCTTTAATTTCTCACTGCATTCTAGTCTGTGTTCTATAATGTTTATTATAGGTTAACAAGAATTATTCTGGAAGTAATATTTTTATGTGTATCCAGTAGTTATTTTTGCAAACTAATACATTAGTACAAAAGGCACAGTGTTGAAAGATCTTAATTTTTGAGTGAAACTTACTTAATAAAAGTCATTTTCCCCCCGAATCTTAGTGTAAAGGCAGCTGCAGTCTGCTGACAGCTTGTGGTTATGCTCTGATTTACTGGGGAAGGAGGAGGTTGTACTATTTTAAATGCATAATAGAGCATTCGTTTCGTCATCTGGAAGCAGAGATGGAAGAAGCTCGGGGGAAATGAGAGACATCACTGTTGCTCTTGTGGAGGGAAGCTTTGTAGCATGTTATCAGACAGCAGTGCATATTGAAGAAAATATTTGTTAGGAATGCATGTCACCAGATGTATTTTGCTTTCAAGAATGGTAGACACATCAAACAAGAATCAGATAAAAGCTTGAGAAAAAGATGTTCAGAAGAATACTGGAGTTATTCTTTATGCTTCACTGCCCTTTACCTCTCTTGGTACCTTCCAGAGAAACAAGTATAGATGTATTTTTAGCTTGCCGTTTCCAGCATCAATATGACAACATGATTTTGTCTTTATATCAGTAAGCAGCTTCTACTATGTTTTCCTATTTTCTGCTAGCTACAATTTACAAAGGATGTCACAGCACTGGTAAGAAATGCACAGTAGCCATTTCCTTGCTTTTTAAGTCATGTTTTGTAGAGATTTGTAATAAGCCAATCTATTAAAAACTGTTCAGTTTGCTTAGAGAAGTCCCTCTATCATGTTAATCTTACTAATTTGCAGAATGTGTTTGTGATAGATGGTTTTCCATCCTTATTTTTTATTTTTATGTTTGGTTTTTTTTTTGTATCCTGTACATAACTGATGCTACAACGTAATATTTACCTGCATCAGTGTATGTGTGTGTGAAAAAAATATATATATATATTTCTTTTTTTTTTTTAAGTATCTCACCCTCTTCCTGTCCCTGCTACTTTGCTGTTATGTTTGTGGCTGCACTTGAGCTTTGCAAGCTGTCGAATGCAAAGACAAGATATGCTGATAGTCTTGAGTTAAGCTTGTTTTGATTAGGGGAAGATGTGTTACCACACCTGTCTCAGATGCTGAACATAGCCCCTGTGTTGCACTGATGAGCTCTGTTTTGTAAAGTCTCTATAGTTAATTTCTGTTATTCTTAAGGCTTTAAAAATATTGCTGAATAATTTTACAAATAGTTGATAAAAAACAATTTGACCTGCATGCCTGCCTGTTGGTAATAGAGAAATGTCTCCTCATAATAAGTAAAAGAGACCAAATAAATTTGTATGATATACTTTTGCATTAGCTTAAAATAAAAGTATAAATTATATACAGAATGATGAGTTACCTTTTTTCATATTTTTGTGCCTTTATTGTGTGTGCTTTATTTCTTAAACTTGCATATTCTCTTACTTTAAATATTAAAATTGGTAGCATGGCTGCTGATGGGCTTAGTTTGTCAAAATGGATTATTCTCAGGGACTCTATAATGGTTAATTGACAAGATGCTTCAAATAAATTAGATTTAATTTATGATAGTAGTAGTACTTAAAATGCATTTAAGATTTTTAATATTTTCACCTTTTCTCTGGCAAAATACATGAATCTTCCTTTACTGGGATTTATTTGGCAGCCATTTAACCTGTCGACTGCTGAAAAATCAGAAGGCTTGAATGGGGAGAATTTTAGAAGCAATATGGGTACATCTAATTGATTGGGTAGAAATTTATGAGTTTCACATGTTTTGAGCAAAGAGGTGATTGTAATTTGTATGTGTTGCAGATTCTACAATGTATTTGATTTCTGAGAGACTAGCTCTTTCTAGATTTGTAGAGTACCCTCATGTTGTGTTTGCATGCATGCTATAGTGAATGTCACTCAGGAACGAGGTAGGGCATAGTCAGATAAAATAGTAAACTGTAAAAATGGAAATTATTATTATTTTTGTGAATTTCCAGTGACACCTTTCTCTCATTTCTATACAGGCATATTCTCAAGATGCCTACCTGAAAGGCAACGAAGCTTATAGTGGCAATGCCCGCAATATACCTGAACCTCCACCAATCTGCTATCCCTGGCTGCCATCTGCCCCGTCAGCCATGGCACAGCCAGTTGAAATATCTCCTCCTGACTCATCATTGAGCAAACAGCAAACCAGTACACCAGTACTGACACAACCTGGCAGGGCCTATAGAATGGAAATACAAGTGCCTCCATCACCAACAGATGTTGCAAAATCAAACACAGCAGTGTGTGTTTGCAATGAAAGTGTAAGGACTGTCATTGTGCCTTCTGAGAAGGTTGTAGATTTGTTATCCAATAGAAACAACCATGCAGGTCCTTCACATAGAACTGAAGAAGTGAGGTATGGCGTGAATGAGCAGACCTCTTTAAAAACAGTGTCAAGAACCACATCACCACCATTATCAATTCCCACCACTCATCTAATTCATCAGACTGCAGGCTCCAGATCATTGGAACCTTCTGGAATTTTACTTAAATCTGGAAATTACAGTGGACATTCTGATGGAATCTCAAGCAGCAGATCTCAAACTGTGGAGGCTCCCTCTGTATCTGTTAATCACTATTCGCCGAATTCCCATCAGCACATAGACTGGAAAAACTATAAAACTTACAAAGAGTATATTGATAACAGACGATTGCACATAGGTTGTCGGACAATACAAGAAAGATTAGATAGTTTAAGAGCAGCATCTCAAAGCACGACAGATTATAACCAGGTCGTCCCCAACCGCACTACTTTGCAGGGACGACGTCGAAGCACCTCTCATGATCGAGTGCCCCAGTCTGTCCAGATACGGCAACGCAGTGTGTCCCAAGAAAGACTGGAAGACTCAGTGCTAATGAAGTATTGTCCAAGAAGTGCATCTCAAGGAGCACTGACGTCTCCATCTGTTAGTTTTAGTAATCATAGAACTCGTTCATGGGATTATATTGAGGGACAGGATGAAACCTTAGAAAATGTCAGTTCTGGAACTCCAATACCTGATTCCAATGGAGAGAAAAAAAAGACTTACAAGTGGAGTGGGTTTACTGAACAGGATGATAGACGAGGTATTTATGAAAGACCTAGGCAGCAAGAAATTCATAAATCTTTTCGAGGTTCCAATTTTACTGTGGCCCCAAGCGTTGTTAATTCTGATAACAGGCGATTGAGTGGTAGAGGAGTGGGATCTGTGTCACAGTTTAAAAAAATTCCACCAGATCTAAAAGCACTGCAGTCAAACAGAAATTTTCAGACTACTTGTGGAATGTCACTGCCTCGGGGTATTTCACCAGACAGGTCACCTCTTGTGAAAGTCCGAAGTAATTCTCTGAAAGCTCCTTCGACGCATGTCACAAAACCATCATTTAGCCAGAAATCATTTGTTTCTATCAAAGACCAAAGACCAGTAAATCACTTGCATCAGAATAGTCTGTTGAATCAGCAGACATGGGTAAGGACTGACAGCACCCCCGATCAGCAAGTGGAGACTGGGAAATCCCCCTCTTTATCTGGAGCCTCTGCCAAGCCTGCCCCTCAATCAAGTGAAAACGCCGGTACTTCAGATTTAGAACTACCCATCAGTCAAAGGAATCAAGATTTAAGTTTACAAGAGGCTGAAATTGAGCAATCAGATACTTTAGATAATAAAGAAGCTGTCATCCTAAGGGAAAAACCTCCATCTGGACGCCAGACACCACAGCCTTTAAGGCATCAGTCTTACATCTTGGCAGTAAATGACCAGGAGACTGGGTCAGACACTACCTGCTGGCTGCCCAATGATGCACGTCGAGAGGTCCACATAAAAAGAATGGAGGAAAGAAAAGCCTCGAGTACCAGTCCGCCTGGCGATTCCTTGGCTTCCATCCCATTTATAGGTGAGCTTATTTAGAGTCATTGGCTAATATGCCAAATGTAGAAGAAAAGTATTATTTCTAGTTCAATAGGCACAGAAATCTTAACAGTGTGATTTCAAAGTGTTTGTAGGGAATCTCATAAGCTGTGCTTCAACCAGAGCTTTTATCCTCTTTAAAGGTTATTTCTAGTACCAATTTTCCTTTTTAAAAAAAAAAAATTTCATGTACCTAGTACCCATTTCAAGTTTTTATTTTGATGAGACAAATTCCTGAGATTAAGGAAATCAGCAAAGCAAATTGTACCTAATTGTTGATTCATGTGAATCAAAAACCAAGTGGAACAGTTTTGATAATTAGTTACCAACCTTTCATGTAAATGGTGCTTTTACTCTCTAAAGCATATTTCTTTGTAAATTTAACGTGTACTGAGAGAAAAGACCTCTTCATTGTCAAGTTAGTTTGCCATACTGTAAATCCTAGAATAGATTTAGAGAAGTTACTTAAATTATAAGCGTGTGCCACAGTTGCTGGCACCCGTCCTGTTGAGTCTTCTGTCTGCTCCCTCCCACCCCAGATCTGTTCTCCATACAGCAGCCAGTGTGATGTTTTTATAAATGTCAATTAGATCACACCACTCCTCTGTGCAGAACCCTCTGTTTTCTTCCCATCCATCTCACCCAAAATAGCATGCAAAATCCTGTGGTCTGAAAGGCCCTCCATGGTCTGCCTCACAGCTCCGTCTCTGATGGGGTCAGAGAGGTCCTGCCTCGTGGTCTCTTATCACAGTCTTCCATGTGCATCCCATCTACAGCCTCGACAGCCTCCTTGCTGTCAGGCGTGCCTTGCTACAGGGACAGGTACAGCTGGTTTCCAACCCTGGAACACATTCCACAGATAGTCACAAGCCTCTGACTTCCTCATAACATTTGGGTCTCTGCTCAAAGATCTTATCCAAGCAGCCTTTGTGACTCACCTATTTAAAACAGGTATCCCACACACAGACACAGAAATTGACATTCTCTTCTTAAGCTTTTTTATTTATCTTCGTATTACTGTTTCCACTTGACATGGTTTTTTTGTTGTTGTTGTTACATGTTTCTCAGTAGAACTAAAACATAAACTACATGAGAGCAGAAATTTTAAATCTTTGGTTCACTTTTGTGTCCCTAATGCCTAGAACACTGTGTGGCATAAAGAATGCACTCAGTAAGTATTTGTTGAGATAATGGCTGAAAGAATTTTGAAATGCTGGTTAAATGTATAGCAAAACAAGACAGTTCTCATCATAATGACTGTGCAGCTCTAAATCATCTGCTAACGGGTGATGACTTATGTCCTTAATATTATCTTCATTTTATAAGTGAGAAATTTAAGGAATAGAGAGACTAAATAACTTCTTTAAAATCGCACAGTAAGTGATAGAGACTGGGTGTCTAGGTTTGCCTCATTCAGCCTCATCGCAGAGCACAGCTCCAGGGAGGGTGCTGTGTATGTAGAATGCCTGTGAAGAGCGCCCCCTGGAGGCGCACGATGCAGGGGCTTTTTTCCTTCTCTTTTTGCCACCAGCCAAGGCCCATACTTCTATTCCCCTGGTGCCCAGTGGGTTTATGAAAAGAGTTCTCCATCATTTTACAGTATAATATGCTTCTCTTTGAGTACCAGTTGAGTTTTTCTTTTCTATGGGAACATTTTTAAAGCTGTTGAGGACTGTTGTTTCTTTTCTATAGAAACATTTTTAAAGCTATCAATTGTAAAGCTATTGATAGCTTTAAAAATATTTCTTAAGAAAACACTTAATTGGATAGGTGACACTAAAAGCTTTTTAAAAAAGGTCCACACAGCTTATGTGTTTTTATAAATAGGATATATTCAAGTTGTCAATGTTGTAGGGAATCCCAACCTAAATTGTACCCATATTCATATGTATACCCCTAAGGCCAAACTCAGCAAATAGTAGACTCCTGTCATAGATGAAATCTTATACATCATCTAGAATAGATATTTTATAGAAAGCAACTGAGGCGAATGATTGTTTTATGAGGTTTTAAAATGTAAAAAGTCCTACAACCTGTAGCTGTGTTTCACTGGCCTGTGCGATCTTATCAGAACAGTGGCATCATATTTTCTTCCTACGTAATAACAACAATATAATTAGATTACACTGGAGTATTAAAAAAAAAGTGCCGGATATATCTGTTAATATTTCTTCCTAGTTATGAAGTATAGAAATAAAGAGTTAATTATGTTATTAAAGAGGGGACTTTGGCTAAAATAGAAAATAAAGATCTGTATAATTCTGTATACATATAGATTGATGAAAAGAAATCATTTTATTTACTAAGAATAAAAGTACTCTGTAGTTCCTATCTTATTTGACTTTTGTCTCCCTCCCGCAACTGCTCACCTCCTGCTGTACGGCCCAGTTACTAATGGGCCATGGACCAGTACCAGTCTGCAGTGCAGGAGTTGGGGACCCCTCCTATATACTAAGGTTCTAGGAGGCATACAGGCATACAAAATGAATACATTTTGTTTTTAAATTTGAAATATTACTTATTAACAGTATTTTGTTTACTGTTCCCACTCCCCCCCCACTTTATAAAGCTACATAGTAAGTCCTGAAAATAAATTTCAACTTCTTTTATAAGTAAACACAAACCATAACAATGTGAGCTGTTCATGAGTAATCCTATGGTGAGTAGCAGATACTGCAGTGTGTTCTAAAATCCTGACTTCCTACACTTCTCTGATTTATACTCCTCATTACTAGTAATACAAAAACACTGTGACTGTTACCCACACCCAGGGTTTCATCTTCACTTTCTTTCTCCATGCTTTTGTCATATCTCTAAGACTACTCCGTCTTACCCCAACGTTGGCTGTGTGTGTGCTCAGTGAGGGTTAGCCTAGGTTAAATTGAATTTGATGGTCACTGCCTTATTGGCACTGCCATATCAAGATGATTTAGAAGTGTTAAGTTGGTTAACAAAAATGTTCCACCAGTAAATAATTTTATATGCTCTTTTATCTTTTCTTTGGTAGTACCATTAGTTTTTTGTTTGTTTGTTTTTGAGATGGAATTTCACTTTCATTGCCTGAACTGGAGTACAATGACATGCTCTCGGCTCACTGCAAGCTCCGCCTCCCGGGTTCAAGTGATTCTCCTGCCTCAGCCTCCCAAGTAGCTGGGATTACAGGCACGCGCCACTATGCCCAGCTAATTTTTTTTATTTTTAGTAGAAACGGGGTTTCACCATGTTAGCCAGGTTGGTCTCAAACTCCTGACCTCAGGTGGTCCGCCCGCCTCAGCCTCCCAAAGTGCTGGGATTACAGGCATGAGCTACCACACTCGGCCACATTAGCTTTTATTCTGAAACACTTTAAATTTCTTTGTAGCACACTTTATAGATTGCTATGCTTATTTATTTAGGGAAATATGTTTTTTTAAACCTAGCTCTTTTTTTTTTTTTTGAGATGGAGTCTCACTCTGTCACCCAACCTGGAGTACAGTGGCATGATCTTGGCTCACTGCAACCTCTGCCTTCCACGTTGAAGCGATTCCCCCACCTCAGTCTCCCAAGTAGCTGGGATTACAGGCGTGTGCCACCACACCCAGCTAATTTTTGTATTTTTAGTAGAAACGGGGTTTCACCATGTTGACCAAGCTGGTGTCGAACTCCTGATCTCAGGTGATCCACCTGCCTCAGCCTCCCAAAGTGCTGGGATTACAGGCATGAGCCACTGTGCCCTCCCAAAACCTAGCTCTTACAAACTGAAATTGTTTCACTAAAATAGACTTTGGAGCCTTTTCACCTAGTTCCTTTAATGTTGAAAATAGACCCAAATCTCAGAAGCCCTCTAACAAATGCCTGGTTTATAAAAACCTAAAAATATTTTATATGTTTACATAAATTAAATAGGTAATTCTGCCCCTTTAGTGGATTTGTAACTGTTGGCCATTTGAACTAGAATTGGCCCTTCTCACCATCCAAGTCCAACTTCTTTGTTTTATAGGTGGTGAATGTAATATCCAAAAAAGTTAAGTGGCTTTTGCAAAGTGAAACACACCAGGTCTCTTGACTTCCCTACTCAGTCATCCACATTTCTACTCTCTCACTGCATTTCTGTGTACTAGAATTGAGAATAAAAGATAGATTAGTGAAATTGGTGACCTGATATTTATTAAATTTCTAAGTAAATGTTGAATTTGTTGAAATTGTTGCAGCATGTCAGCTGGCAAGCTGGATCATTTTTCATACACACATGCTTGTGCATGGGCCCATGGACACACACCCTCACCCCCAGATCTTAAAGGTTTAGTTATCTTTGATCTATGGGACTGCAAAACCTCAGCCAAGTAATTGTAACCTGTTAACCGTGGCAAATCTAGATGTGATCCTTGCACTTGCCCTTTGTAGATTTAGAGCCATTGCTCTGCTCACTGGTGCCTGCTTTCTTGTAGACGAGCTGCCCATATCACACATATCCCTGCTTTTGCTCTGATTTTGTCACCTCCCTTTCAAATACCTACTTCACAGTAGTTCCTCTTGGATTTATAACTCCACTCCCTCATCGTCAGCACTGACTGCCATCTTGCTATGGCAAACATGAATAGGGAATTTATTCAAAATACTCCCCTTCCTAACCACTGTAAAATCATTTCTATCTAATAGGGAGATATAGCATTGACCTTTTGGTTATTAAGATAGCCAGATCTCCAAATGACTTTCAAAAAGCCAAATGTTAATTTAAATCCATGTTCACAGAACTGACCATTAAAGAAACTTGGTCTTAATTAGAAAACTGAATTCCAGTTATGATAATGAGCTTAATTATTGTAAAAATTGGGACTATTTGAACTAGGTGATGGGTACCCCTTACCAGTTCATATAAAACAAGACTTATTGCTTCAAAAATTTTATTTATAATTAGTGAAAAATGTTTAGTGAGCCTACTCAAGGTCTGTTGCTGGGTCAAAGATGAGAAGGCCATGTGAATATATTAGCATCATTTTTAAACAT